GGGTTAGGGTTAGGATAGGAACACTCACCCTCCAGCAGCTCCAGGCTGGCGCCGCCTCCCGTGCTGACGTGGCTGACTTTGTCCTCCGTGTTCCACTTGGCGCAGCAGGTGGCCGTGTCGCCCCCACCTGGACAGCAGGGGCACCAACGGTCAGCACACAGATCCCAAATCACACTTTGGGCGTTAAAAAATGATCCAGATGCTGTAAAAGCCTTTGGGACGCTGCCCCGGTGGCTGACGGCGTTTTTTGCGAAGGCCATAGCAGACCAACGGCTAATGGAATGTACTAGAGAGTACTAGACATTTCCCCTTAGTCAAAAATTAATTTCAAATGATGTTGTTCCAGATTGTTATTTAACAGACAGTGTTAGACACACTATAAGAGGTTGTGTGGGTCCACCAATAGGAATACCAGTTCTATCTTAACCCAGAGTGATATGGGTGTAACAACCCATTTAAACTAAAATACATATATTAAAAATAGCCAATGGAATTTTTTTTTTGTGCTTTTGTTAGTGTGATAAATGGGAATCCTTTGGTCACTTTTCTATTCCCTATCATTTCTCTTAAGGGAAAAATGGGTCTGGGCTCTAACGGGTTAAAACAATACCAAACAAAAAAAAAAAAAGAAATTGAAACTGGCTGGTGATATTACTGATGAGCTTAGGACTTCTTTCTGTGACAGAGCTTTAGGATGACCACATCATGACCGTTATGCACCCCTATGGGGGGCCTACAGGTCCCAGCTGTCCTTTCCATGCAAATATACTGTATCTCCAGTTTCTTTTTAGACCGTTTTGAGAGACTCTGCAAGCTCCAAACCCTCTGACACCCCATCACACTACTGGCCTTTTGCTGGGAACTGATTGGTTTCTCCATCTTTGTAAGCCGTTTTTCTTCTAAAATTAAAATGTCTCCCTTTCCACATTTTGTGCTTTCGTTAATGTATAGTAAACAAAAAGCCGGCCTCTAAAGGTCTTATTCCGTTTTCCCCCATGTTTCTGGAATCTGATCTGTGGACGGAGGTGGTATTCCTGCCTTTAAAACCTGATAAACTTATCGCAGTGTCTGAGCGAGAAACCTCAGGCGACCGTGGGTCAGCGTGCTGACCGGTCTGCTTCTGCTGGACCTCCTTACCGATGATTGTGATGCAGCCCGCCTTGGTCACCTCCACCACCTTGTCCATGAGATTCTTGGTTCCTTTGGCGAAGTTATCCCACTCGAAGACGCCCACGGGGCCGTTCCACACGATCTGCTTGGCCCTGCCCACAGCCTCGGCGTAGGCCTTGGAGCTCTCCGGTCCACAGTCCAGACCCTGTGGGGACATCACCCCGTCACACGTGCACCAGCCTACGTGCGCACGCCTGCGTGCACCAGCCTGAGCGGGCCGCTCACCATCCAGCCGGCGGGGATGCCGGCGGCCACCGTGGCGATCCCGGTGGCGGCCTTCTCGTCAAACTTGTCCGCCGTCACGAAGTCGACGGGCAGAGTGATCTTGACGCCGTTCTTCTCCGCCTTGGCCATCAAGTCCTTGACGATGCCGGCGCCCTCCTCATCGTACAGAGAAGTGCCGATCTGCAAAATATCATCGAACAAAAAAAAACGTCAGACGCTTTATTCAGGAAGGACCAAACTAACCAATCAGAATTCAGCTTTAAGAGGCTGGGTCGCTTTGGGATAGCGGCACAAAGGGGGAGAGTCCAAAAGTGGAATTCGAACCCAAGCAGATAAAGGGAGATAAAAGCTACTACTGAACAGTTGCTCTATTCAGAGCTGATAGGCCGCTTTGTGTTTTGAACCAGCCCATTCACGTAGATTACAAAAGGAGGTTATCTGGAATATATTTATGGTTCAGAGTTCAGCCTGCAGAGCAGGTGGGCAGAATGTTTTGAAATGATTTTAAACTGAGGAGGTGTGTGGCTATGAGGCTTGTCCTCAGCTTTCTTTTCAGTCCTGGTTAATAGTAATAAATTACCCACTCGTTTCCTCTCAGACTGACGGCCTGAACTGCACACCACAGCGAGCAAAGCTTTAATTAGATTAGCAAAACTAAATTACTGGACAATAATCCTCCACATATCCACACTAGAACGTTTTATGATCTAAAGACAGTGGTGCATTCCCAGCTAAAAATAAGAGAAAAATACAGGATACGTTTATTTCATAATGTAGGCAAATGGAAAAAGATAAATAAAAGAAAAAAATCTTATCTGGTTGACACAACCTGCTTTGTTAAAAAGTAAGGAAAGGCACACAATAGCAGGACTTTCAAAATCTTTTGTGAAGAGGTCAAACTGAGGCTCTGAATGCGAGTTTGAATATGAGTGGTGACGGAAACGAGGAAAAAAAAAAAAGAGTGTTTGAACACCGCAAACGTCAAACAGAGCCCTACACACTGAGAAAACCATGGAGTTTATATCTAAAACAATTCTGATTTCACCATTCAACTTTTCACGTCCACCACTGGAGGAAAAAAAAAGCCAGCATTTGATAAAGCACACAGTTACCTTAGGAAAGGGACTTTTAAAAAAATGTTTACCCCCATACAGCATTGAGGCTAATTATTCATAACATTACAGATACGCCCAACTAAGTCTCTCTCACCTCCATGTTGTTGAGGACTTTGAGGAAGGTGAAGGCCATGCCGCCCCCGATGATCATCTCGTTGACCTTATCCAGCAGGTTGTTGATCAGCTGGATCTTATCCTTCACCTTGGCTCTGAAAGAGCAGGCCGGGTGCAGAGGAACAAGTCAGAACAGACAACATACCAAGAAAGAAAAAGAAAGAAAAAAGCTTTGGAAGAACAGAGGCCCACACACACACAGTTTCAGTCGGTCGGGGTTGCGTTATGCTCGGATCCCAATGCCAAAAGCCACACTTTGAAATTTGACAAAACAGAATCTAACAAAGAACGGTCACATTGCAAACTGGTACACTGACACCATTACTCCTGCCAGCTCTCCTTTTTCATAATTACAGAGTTTAAACCTAATACATTCATGTCACTAATCACAGAGGATCACCAAAACTATATTTAAACACGCACAAAGACTGACATATTTGACATATTTATCCATTTTTTAGGAAAATTGAAATGATGGATTGATTATATATTGTTGTATAACTAATTTTTTAATCAGTTAGAATCTGTTCCATTCGGCTCATATTGAATCAAAACATCAGACAGAGCTGTGATGTCTCCCTATAGGGAATTGTTGGGTTTCTGTAATTAACTTCAGAGTAGGGTCTGACCTGGTCCGTTTGGAAAGTGCTGTGAGACAACTGTTGTTGTGATGTGGCGCTATATAAACAAAATTGAATTGAATTGAACTATAGCTGGAATTGATCAGTGGTGTTCTGACCAACAGAAGCCTCCCTCTGTGAGTAAAGCTCTCCAACTGAACCGGACCCTGACATGAAGCTGGAGGTCTCAGGTGGGTGTCAACAGCTCCGTTTGACTGTGGGAGGCAGCAGCTTTAGCCTCAGGTACTCCTTCCTTCCTCCCGCTTCCTACGGGGAGCGCGCAGGTCCCAGCACAACGTGCACATCGTGCGCGTGACCTCTCAGTCTCTGGCGTGTCCATGCAGCCACACCTCAGATTACATAAGGGGCTTATGCTCTTTTCTTAGAGGGACACTTAGCTCTTCTAAAAAGAGACTGACGGGTGACAGAAGCCAAGCAGGAAATGACACGGAGGCAGCAGAATGTGAGAGCCGGAGTCAGGTGTCAAACACTCTCTTTTTACAGAGTTTAAAGCCCAACCGCTGGATGATGATGAATGAATGAATGAATGAATGAGTGAGTGAGCTACTCACCCTCCCAGGATGGCCAGGAAGGGGCTCTTGGGTTTCTCCAGAGCCATGGCAAAGTAGTCCAGCTCCTTCTTCATGAGGAAGCCGGCTGCCTTCTGAGGGAGATTCACCCCCACCATGGAGCTGTTGGAGAGGTGCAGAGGGGGGGGCAAAGTTAGGAAGCAGCCCCCGTCCCACATTCACGTCCACTCCACCCGGGACATGGCTTCCATCGGGATTTCACACAAACCATTTTTGCAACACCAAATTCTACAATAGAACAAAGGCACTATCTGTGTTTTATCTACTTTATCTTTTGTCCATAGATGCAAAAGCTCATAGCAGACGACCCCCCCTCCCTTCAGCTTGAGCAATATTTTGAACAAACACAAAAACACAATGCATAAATACGGGGACAGCATGTTATGGTGTTAACGTCCAGTGCGGACCCCCTTCTAGAGAGTGTTTGGTTGGTAAATAAACACATCGGAGGTTAAATGACAGCAGTCCATTCGCGCGTCGTTTTAAGGCCGGCGTCCGGCTCACCTGTGGGCTCTGTGGGCGGTGCCGAAAGCATCGTTGACGTAAACATCTCCCAGTTTGGACAAAGACGCCCTGAAGGAGTCCGTCTGCTCCTGGGTCGCCTTGGTCTGAGGGGGGGGGGGGGGTTAAAAAGGGAACAAAAACAGAGAGAGGTGATCCATTTCTTTCATCCGTTTGTACAAACAATTTAGTTTTCATGGCTTCAAAACACAGATTTTTTTAAAAAGCGTTGTGGAACAAAACTGAAACCCGTCAGCCATGTCCATATCCAGCTGTAAGAACTGGACGGAGGAGCCCCCCCGCCCCCCCCGCCTGAACAGTCTGGTAAGGAGAAGAGTCCTCCGGATATCATCTGTCTGCCCTCCCACCGGCATGTGGCCACTCCACTCAGATCCTGTTGCAGCTGCTCTTTAACGGTCAAAGGTCCTGACCGGAGGGCAGGAAAAGGTCAGCTGCTGGAGCAAATGTCAGAGAGCCTGACCACAGTCCGGTTCCCACTCCCCCAGCACCAGGGGCCCATAGTTCTCCTAAAAACTAGCGATTCCAAACTAATGCTGACTGCTTTCTTGCCGTGATTTCCAGTGAAAGGTCGATCCTTAACACTGCATCTGTTTGAATCCCACCAGAAAATGAGGAGACTTTCTGCTTTATTATTAAAACTGAGCAGTAGGACATGTGAAAACTCCAAAATTCCAAAAGCTTTTTACCCAGAGGAGTCTGGTGCTGTAACACACGGACACAGTTTCCCCACAAACTCCACATTTCTAGTGGACAGACTTTAATGCCATTGCTTCTTTACATTTTCGGTCCTCCTCCAGGACCGAGCATCTGAGTGGAGACTGAGGGCAATGTCAGATTAGGACATTCCTTAATCCTTGTTATCAGTAAAAAGAAAAAGGGGGCATCACACCAAAGCCATTTTAAGGCCATTTGGGCAAAAACATCCACGGATCTTATCTCCATGAAAGACAACACTGATCTTTTCTTCTGAGAGGGAAAAAAGTTCATGATAAGATTTTAACTGAGATACCAGAGGTAAAAACATTCTCTGTTCTCATCCCAAATGTTGGACTCCCACACAGCAGCTCAGGATGTCTTCTATCAGGAAGGCTGAGTGTCTCAGTCCCGTTAACCGAGAGGGTCAGGTGATCTCAGATCTGCCACAGACACATTTTATGGGCCAGAAATAGACGGGCCCTGGTACTATACGGCGCTGCGGGCCGGGGGGATCCGAGCAGCATACCAGCCAGGGCTCTCAGGACAGGAAAAGCTGAGCAACCTTCAGAATGAATGTCAGCGGGTCAGAGCTGCCGATCCAGGCCGGGAGGCTGAAAGAATGCCTGCAGCCGGCATCCCACCATGGAGAAAACACAGGCCCCGGCTCTTCCAGAGGGCCCTTAAAGACTGGAAATGGGACTTAAAGAGTGTCTTACCATTTGTAAAACGCAGACTGTTGATTCATTATTTTCAGCAAATGGTAAAAAGATGTCCCCCTCATTAGCCGATGGTCTAAAACTCTTTCTGTGAGGTTTAATGTCTATGAATGAACACCACATTTAGCTCTATTTTAGAATTAGTAGTTTTTACATTATTAGGCCAAGTAGAGAGAGGGGGCGGGGCTCTGCACCACTCCTGTGTGGATGGTGACATCATCAGATGGTGATGCAGCATGTTCAGGAGACACTGCACCCCCAGGGACAGACTAAAAAAGGATTCTGTCAGAGCCGTGAACAGACAGGACGGCTTGGCATTGTACTTTGGATGAAACTGACTTTGTCAGTTGTAATTTGGATTTTTTTTTTTTTAAAACAAGAAGCTTTCACTTGGCTTTTATTAAAGAGTCAATTCAAGGAGGAAAGATTCTGTTGGGATTATGCGTCATTTTCTGTCCCTAATGTAAGAAACGGAGAAGTCCCTGCTCATCTCGACATGCAATTCAGGTTTGAACAACCAGATAAAAACCAGGTTGCAACAGGATTTAAAAAAACCTTTATCCAACATCAGCAAATTGGTATTTGCTGGCTGATCATCAATAACTGTGCGAGTGCTTTAAAGGGGTGAACCATTAGGCCTGAGGACATGAAAGCCCGGCTAAATAAAAAATAATCTGCATGCCCTTTAGGGTGGCTTTGGAAATGAAGACAAAACCAGCAAAAGGGGAAGCAGAGTGAGGAGAGTCTATGAAATCTGTCTAGAATCTACTTCTGTTTTGACAAAAACTCTCTTGGTGTTTCAGTTGATTTAATCATAGAGAACTTTACAGATATTTATGATTAGACATGTCTGCATGACAGCTGTACTGCTTTGAAAAACAAAGCCAGACAAGTGGAACCAGACAAAATCTACAACCCCTCCTTATGCTAACTGAAAGAATTTAAAAACGCTGAAGGAACACCAACTTTTAGCATCCTGCCTGAGGGCTGACCTTGTTTCCAGAGGCATCCTTCCCTTTTCCCTCCTCTGCGACGTGGAAGCGGAGGTTCTCCAGCAGGATGACTGATCCGGCAGCAGGGTTTGCACAGGCAGCTTCAACCTCAGGACCCACGCAGTCCTTCAGGAAGGTGACGTCCCTACGGAGTTCCAGAGAGGGAGAGAATGGTCCAAAATGGGAGATTAGGGAAAGATCCATTTCACCCTCTTCTTAAAAATACACTGCATGGACAGAAAGCTAAACAGAAATTCAGCCCAGCAACTCACTTCCCCAAAAGGGTCTTCAGCTCAGCAGCAACGGGCTCCAAGGAATACTTCTCAGGCACAAAGTTCCCATCAGGACGGCCCAGATGGCTCATCAGAACCACCGACTTGGCCCCGTGGTCCAGACAGTGCTGGATGGTGGGAACTGCTGCCTTGATCCTGACGAACAATGAAGATAGTTGAGAAAATGCACAATTCACCACTTAAAAAAAGAAAAACTAAACAAAAACAAAAGATAATGCCAAAGGATTTTTTTAAAGAAAAAAAAGCATCTATCAAGGAGATGTGTTCATTGTTCCCGAGCAGGTTTATCTTTACCTCTGGTTGTTTGTGATGTGCTTGTCCTTCATGGGAACATTGAAGTCGACTCTGAAAGAAAACAAATTTTTCCATTAAAATAAGCCTGGCAGCACTCCTCTGTTAAAATTGTACTGAATTGGTGCTGCTAAAGGAAAATAAATCAATAAAACTCTTTTATTAAAACTGTCCACTCTGTTCAGCCACAGAAAAATGCTGAATCCAACTTATTCAACCATCAAATATCAGTTTTCTCTTTGCCTTGTCTTTAGACTCTACCATCTCATGGTGGGAAGCTCTGACTGTTAAGTGGCTAAATGACCCACTCTGACTTTAGCTGGTTCTGGTCTGTTTGGGTCTGAGTAAGTGGTGATATGTTTAAACAGCCACACTGTGATGGGAATTTCAATTTAAGTGACTTAAGATGTGCTCTGGTTGAGTGGGGGCTCATAAAAAAGGGGATTAGGAACTGAAAGTGATTACCAAACAGGAATCCATAGGAAAAGGCCTCCTAAATGAATCTGCCAGTTGGGTTGCATTCATCTGTGCAATGGTGTGTAACGGCATGCTTTATCCACGGTGCTGCTGCCAGTTACATAACCAGCTCCCTCTCTCTGTCCCTGTGATAGGCCAGCCCCCAGTCTGCACCTGCTGCCACTGTAACAGCGGTCCTGTGTCTTAGCCTAAAACCGCAACGTCAGCAGTTCAGCGGCTCAGCAGCAGCAGGATCCTGAATCTAGCCACACTGGGAACTGAGGCAGCTCTCCATTCTGAGAGGAAATCGGCCCGCCGCTGCCTACTGTGGATCTGTGAAGAGATGTTCTGGCACCGATTTGGTTTAGGGCAGCTCAGAGCATCTGGAGAGTGCACCAACAGGGCCCGGGCTGCATTTAGTAAAAGGGCCGGAGGACCCATGCCCCTTAGCCAACACAAAACTAAAACCAAAGATAAATGTTTGAGACTTTATTGGTGTTGTCAAAAGTATCGATACTCAAAAAAGTATCGATACTAAAATGTTGTATCTGGATATGATATTCATTTTCAAAAGTATCGATACCAGATTTATTCATGTATTTTTTTACGTTGTTTATGATCATTAACAAGACGTTAGCCTTGTACTGCTAGCTGCGGCTAATGGCTAATGATAACATGCTACCATTAGTCAAGTACATATCCAACTCCGCCCACATCCAAGTCAGCCATTTTGATTAGGTCACCAATAGGAAGATTCCAGGCAAGAAAATCCTAATTGCTTCATGGCAATATAGACATTAATCTAAAAACAGTGAAATTAATCTTCCAAACACTTAATTAAACTCTATCCATAATATTATGTTAAAATAGTGGATGTTAAATAGGTTTGTACAATAAGTCCAAACAAGTTTAACCAAAAAATATTTATTCCTCACAATTATGAAGGGTGGAGGGTCATGGTCAGTGTTAGGGTCATTAATGCAGGCCACCGGCCACCATAACATCAGTAATAGGTCAGTTTGAAACCAAAGACACTAACCTTTCAAAATTCAGTTAAATTTTGGGGTCTTTGTTTTTATCCTTGTGTTATCGAAAATGGTATAGAGTATCGAGTATTTTCCTGAGTATCGGTATTGAGTTGAAAATGTTAGTATCGTGACAACCCTAGACTTTATTGGTGTTTGATGTTCCAGGATTTCAGGTCTCTTATGGTAACATTCCAAATTTTTAGACTGAACCAGCCTCCTGATCAAACCCTGAAGGTTCAGAAAATCTATACATGCACACCCTCCACGTGATAGAGACTAAAGATTTCCCAACAGACTCACTGCAAGGCATCGCCGCTAAACATTTACAAAGACTCTGAACGTTGGGTAAAGATGACCTGACGTGGATCCCAATGGACCGAGAGTGAACGTTGTCCTGTGCGCTCTGCCGTTGCGCCATCAAACTGAGCAAACCCACATGGCCTTCTGACATTTCCACACAGGGTGTCGGTTACCAGTGCTCCTCTATGGACTGAGAGGATCAGTCTGCAGAAGGGCACTTGGAATGTCCAGGGAGTGCAGATAGAGAGGTTTCTTTTAGCAGAAATAAGGGATCTATTGTCATTGTTAACTAAATTATCACTCATTACAGTACTTTAACCCAGTAGCCATACTAATGAATCCATAAGTATGCAACCATGCTCATTTAACAGTTACAGCTGTTTGTATGCATATTGCATGTGTGAAATTTATCATACGATCATTACATTTGCAGTCAAAAATATTATTTAAGGGCTTCTTACTCCACAAATCTAACATCAGTGTCACTGATTTAATTGAAGAGCCAAAGACTTTAACATCCCTGTGACTCATTTTTTTTAAAAGCTCACGTTAAACGGCTGGTGGGGTGCGATGTACTCCATCTGTAAAAGCTGGAGTAGAGACTCTGCTCATGAAAACCCTGTTGCAAGCGTCACAATCAGCTCCAACAATGTGCACAGGATCCCAACACCATTTCATACCAGTTCAGATTAAGTTCCAGATTCACTTAGGGACACACCTGGTTTAGTGTTTGGCGGTATATGCACCCAACTGCAGAATGAGGTACCTTTCTTTCTTTCAAGAGAAAAAAAACAGACTATTTTGCAACCTTTTGAGCAGGGGATATAAGATTTTTGGGGGATTTGCTTGAAAAGCGTGGAGGGCAAACTCGCCAATGCAATCAACCTAAAATTCTATGATTTGTTACATTGTTTCAAAATTATGACATAAACCTCTGGGTCCATGTTAAGTTTAATGGTTAACGCCCAGATAAACGAGATTTAATAAGAATTTCTTAACGTTTCAAGAGCACGCGTCCATTTATGAATACCTGCTAAGAGGTTGTCCCTATAAGTGTAATGTGAGATGATCTTATTATAATCACAATAAGAAAAAAGAAATATGAAGGCCTCGTTTCTACAGGGATGCGTGTCTTCACACCACTGATTCCAGCTACATTTCGGGCGCAGCGTTCTCATCCATGTAGCATCCCCCCACGGGCACGTAGCATCAAATGGAAAACGTGACTACCAGCAAGTTCACTTCCTGTCTTCTTCACTATTCATAAGCTGCCTCGAGACACCGTTAAACAACGTTTTTAGCCTTAATATGAAAACTATTCGTCTGCAGAGCTGGTTATTATTACCGCAGAGGGCCACGGGATGTTTAAAGTAGCTAGCTAACGTTGTTACCCAAATAGTCGCTTAATTGATGTAGTCCGACTACGGATATTCTAAAACGCTTACCTCATGATGACCCGCTTTCCCTTTACGTCCACCTTATCCAAGGTAAGTTTGTTGGACAGCGACATGTTGCTCGGCTTTGCTGGTTGTTCCGTGCACCTTCCTGGACGTGTCTCCTCCGCCTGGTTAGCTACCGAATGACAGCTGTGACCTTAGCCGCAGTGAATTGACAGAGATGCAGGGCGGAGTGGGACACGCCCACCGCAGCTCATTGGTTAATGTTGGATGTCATATGGATAGCAGTACAGAATTTGATTGGACAAGAAAACCGATTGTTTTCAACGACTGTTTAACTCTTAAATGGCTGATGTTCATTCATATTCATATTAAAGTAACAATCCATAGATACTGGTGTTTTCATTTCATACCCAATGCCACAAGTGCTTAAAATGTATGAACATGTAAAAAAAACAAAAAACATGTATATATTGGAAACTAAACAGTTACATTTCTGCCAATGTGGTATCTAAAAAACTTCTTGAACCACTTTTTTCTCAAAAAGTAATTGCTTTCACAGACTTAATCATTCACTATCATTAATCTTTATACATTTCAACATTAACTGAATTAAGCATGCATGTTTTTATATTTTAATGCAGTTACTTCATACCATCTGATGAAGAATTCACACACAACACACTACTAGAATTAGACTTAATTTATTGGAACATAACACATTGGAATAAACACAGGAATTCACTGTCTGAATAGGGAGCCGTTTTTCCATCTGTACAACCGCAGATTTTTTGGTTGCAGCAGGTCGATCTTGCTGCCTCCTCACTCCTCCTCAGCTTCCCTCCATTCTTTAGGCATCACCTTCCCAACAGGTGACATGTTCCAGGTGATGCCAGTCTGAGTCAGCACCTTCACAAAGACAGCAAAGTCAAACCTATACCATGCATGCTTTTATTAATCTTAATCTCTCATATCTTTCATTTCTTGCCCTTTTACTTGACATCTAGAAAGTTTTGCGTAAATATATATATAGACAGAAGAAAGAAGTGCAATTTAAAACTAATGTTGGAAAAAAGCCTGAAGGTTAAGCTTTGAGACTTAATTTGAAAAGAAAAATGTGAACATTACTTATATTTGAATATGATTTGAACATATTTGGAGCCATATAAAAGTTGCACTTGTTTGGTCTGTGAAAGAAGCAGCCACATTTATGTAAACATGCATATGGCAGCATGCGGGAGTATTAGTGATGTCTGTGTTGTTGTTACTGCCACAATGTGCAGCGCGCCAAAAATAAGAACATGCAAAACAGTCTCTTCTTATCCGGACCCATCCATAGTGACATTAAAGCTAAGATTGTGTGTGTGACTCCCCTCTCTGAGGAGGTTATTTGTATAAATGAAAGTGCAGTGACTTGACTTACATATCCCCACACAGCTACGCAGAATACAGCTCCGCTGGCCATCAAACCGGTGCCGTACTTTGCGTGGAAGTTGTCAGAGGCAGAGGATCCATGCCTCACCTGCCTCACAGCCTGACCTGCAAACCAGACAGACCTCATGTAAAGACTGGACGTCGCATCAGCTTTAAATTCATGCTTTAAATATTCTGTTATCACAACTGTCCTTGTTTACTTCTAAAGCTTTTCACCAGAAAATAACCATTAAAAAAATCCTTTTGTCAACAAACATCTGGGGCTACATTTTCAGCACATCTCATGATCAACACACAGTGCTCACAAAGACCTTGGTCGTCTTGTCTTTGATAATAACTTGTGATAAAAACTAGCACAATCTGAATTTGACATTAAATGAAGGGTTTAAACATCAGGAGCTGTTTGGTTGAGCTGGCCAAACAATCAGCCGATAATTTTTCAGGTAACTAAGGTGGTAGTCTAAGACTGTTAGACAAAAATGTAAGGTTGGCAATGCCATCATCGACTTATTTTACTATTTTTAGGCATTAAAAATGCATGTACGTTTTAAAATGGCTCAACAATGACATTAACATACATAGTTTTAGATTACAGATTTTGGAAAAACATTAAATCAGGTGATGTACTGTATCAAATAGAACAGTGGCATAACTTAAGGCAGCTGTGAATGATAAAATCATAATGTGACACTATCAAGCTCTTATCCCAAAAGAGGAGCATTTTCAAATGGATATTTTGTTAATTCAGTTTAATCGTTACAGCCTACCAAGTATTATTACCCATTATTACTTATTTTCTTTATTTTCTACAAAGCTTTGTAGAAAACCAAGTCCTCTTGCTTAGCCGAGTTCTGGCACTTACACAGAGGTGGACAGTAACAAAGTAAATTTGCTTGAGTGCAGTTCTTGAGAATTTTTATTTTACTGAGTCATTTTTTATGGAAAACGTATATTCTTTTCACTCCACTACATTTTAACTATGAAAATCATACCTTTTACTCCACTACATTCTTCTAAAAGCTTTTGCAACTTGTACCGTTACTCCAGTTTGTTAATATAGATTAATTGTGTCCCTCTGGCACGCTGTAAAATAGCTCACTAATCTCCTGTACAGAAGCTGGAGATATGCAGCCTTTAACTAGTTGCTTGGACAAAAAAAAAAAGAATTAATTTTGCCTTAAGAGAGTTGCCGTACAGGTACACTGCGCATGCTCAGATGGGTAATGACACCGACATGAATCCTGGGCTAGACTTGCCTTGCGATAATCAAGTTTTAATAATAAGTGGTTATTTTTCACGGTGTAAATTGTGAAATATATATTTTTTTCAAGAATGAAAACAAAAAAATACTTTACATTCTTATGCACGAAAGGAAATACTGTAGGACTTTAACTCAGTTGATCATTTAACAGAGCTACTTTTACTGGAGTAACATTTGATCAGTAGGATCTGTACTTTTACTCAAGGAACCGTTTTCTTTCGTCGTTTTGCCCTACATTAAAATTAGATATAAGATACATAGTCTAAGGCTCATAATCGACCAAAATAACTCAAGTACAGCAGTATAACTGTTGGAAAAGCAAAGGTGCGCGACGAGTAACATTTCCTAATTTCTCGAAGTTACAATAGGTCAGTGTCGAACAAGGACATCTCGCATATTCAACTTTATATTTCACGGATATTCAAACATTGTTATTTAAATTAAAGTATAATAGATATACCCAGTTTTGGCTGTTTGACCAAATGAGAACATAATTTTGAACACCAAAAAAGTCTAAGGGACACGCTAATGTTAACCTGCTAACCGCAATGCACGTTTACCGCGGTCAATCGACCGCAGAACTGACCAGCCTCTCCGACTGAGAGAAAAGTGTCGTCAGGTCTAATAGTACACAGATTACACACGAATCCGAATGAAAAATATCTTACTGCTGATATTAGCCGCGGCTCTGGCAAACCGGTACATGATGTCTAGCCTGGTGTCTTCAGATACCCTTGAAAAACGGAAGTACAATATGGCCGCCGAAAGTAGACAACACCGGAAGTTGGTGAGTTCATGGCACGTATTTAGATAGTAACTATGAACTATGCTTCAGGTAAACACCCCTGACAATAACAATATTATTTATTTGATTAATATGACCATCTAGTTTATTTGCTGTATTATTATAAGTTTCATGGAAATAAAAATAGTAGGACTAACCGTCTGTATCGCACACACCAAAACGTATCGTTGGTGAGGGAATTCATTATTCCCATTGTGAATAGATTACTTGAATGCAGCGTCATAGCGTTTGTCAATGAGAGCATGCGTGGATTTAACCCAAACGTTTTAAAGGACTAACTCGATAAGTGATTAATGCATGATTCTTCTACATATATGTCATCCATTCTAAACGATAAACGATAAAGGGAGCTGTGGCTGCACGTTTGTCGTCGTGTCAGGATGGCCGAGTGGTCTAAGGCGCCAGACTCAAGGATTAACTCCTTCCTAAATCGGGATTTCTGGTCTCCGAATGGAGGCGTGGGTTCGAATCCCACTTCTGACATAGTTTTAATACTTTACTTTGCACTTATCAATACATTGATATTGCAGCTTCATTTATATTGGTGGCAGTTATATATTGGTCTTATTTTTTTTTAAGCAGTCAGCACTCATCGTTTCAAGTGTCAATTTTCTGACTAAAAAATAACTGATATTCCTTATCACTTGCATCAAAAGGTTGTTATACATCTCCATAAAACAGTCTTTATGTACAGTCTTTATTCTGTAGTTTCCTTTATTAAATCAAAATATCATTTGAGAATTATGACCATGAGACAGAATGAGTATTGTATATATGTCCACAGAGAAATGTTTATCTCCCGGGATGGCAAGTTACATGTATGATGGTTGCAAATACATTCATTAGCACCACACATTCTTACAGCGTGTAGCTCAGCCTGGGGGATGTGGGGCTGAGAGATGTTTTTAAACGTTTGCCATCATGGGTTTAACTTTTTTTGTTTAAAAAAAACAAACAAAAAAACTAAACAAATACATACCAAATGATTGAATAAGAAACATAAATTACAATATGTAGCGTTATATATCTAAAACAGCAGTTTGATGGCAGCAATCACTTCCCACTGCAACACGTGATAAACACTAACAGTTTACCACCCCCGCCTCACACACCTTCTAAGAGACACTGCTGGAAAACCACAAGCAAATCCTGAAGAAGAAAACAGAATTCAGTCTGTGAAAATGAACAGATGGCATCAGGCTTTCACTGGGAACGAAGGCTACGTGTGGCCCGACTGCTGACTAAAAGCGGCATGTCAAGACAAAGACCTCAAACAGATGTAGCCGAGACATCCTGGGTGTCTACAAATCCCGTCATCAGATCAACAACTGTATGCTCATTGCTCCAACCTACACAGCCTTATTTGTCTATTAGAATTTCTGCGAGAAGATTTAAGATTTTGAATACAGTGGTGCTGAAGAAACTAACATTCCATTTCTTAAAAAAACTTGAACATGGATCAATGTTTCAGTTTACATCTCTACATCAGAATGAAGCATATCTAGCTGTTAATGCCTTCAGGAAAAGATAAATGGTGATAAAGTTGACATAATGAATCCATGATTGGTCCTAAATACAGTATGGAGGTGCATGGAGGTGTTCTCCGTGAATGGCCTAAAAAGAAGGCCCGAGGTTTCCGATTACAACATTAAGGCAGCTCTTCTTTGTCCTCCCTTTGGTCACTTCTCCTGGTCTAGTCGGTCTTCTTGTCTTTTGCCTCCTCGTCATCGGTGTACTCTGTGGGCTCCTCCCCTGGTTTCAGAAGTTTGCCGATGTAGTCATACTTGACTGTAACAGACAGGGAGGCAAAATGAATCACAGCCTTTGTCTCTCTTTTAAGAAGATTTTGGAGTAACATAATTTGCTAACAAGTAAAAAGAAACTATGCCAGCTCTGTTTGGCTGAAGTGGAAATAAAAATAAAGCAGTAATTCTGTCAATTGCATAACAAAAACTTTGCGTATTCACCATCTAGATGGCAGAAAAAGAAAAGCGCTGATAAGTGTACACAACACTATGTGTTTTTAAAGGGATAGTTACTCTTTAACCGATGCATCACTGCTATGAATAGATGGATTTGCTTGTGCTGCTGTGTTTTAGGCATCATATTCTTCAGAAATGTAGTGATGTAAAACGGCCCCACTCACAGGTGAACTGGGTCTCCCACTCGGTCAGACTCTCCTGCTGCATGACGTTCAGGTCTGACAGGTCATCGTACTCATCTTTCAGGGCCTCCTTCTCCAGGCAGAAAGTTGCCAGACCTCTGGACGCATCTTTTCCGGCAAACACCCCGTACGGGCCCTCTGCAGAACAGAGAAGTCATTGAATGTGGCTGTAAAGGAAATAAGCGTAAGCCACAGACGCCGATCAAAACACCAAAACCGTCTGCCTGACAGTGTAAAATAAATGTAATCTATTTATGGACAGAGCCTTCAGAGGGATCGTCTCCTTGAACTGTCCCTGAGTTTGGAGTTATGCTTGGAGACGCCCGGCTGTCAGGTCAGATACAGTCTTTTCTAACCTTGAATGCATCTCAAAGCATTCAGTTATTTCTGATGGTCGATCAGAAAAAAAAAGATACTGCAAAACTTTAGATTTCCACAGGCTTTTCTAAGTTTCAATAATTTCTGTTGTTGCTTCTAAGTTGCACCAGCCTGAGATGGGAGGAAAACAGATGAGGCAAGAAAGGAAGAGGCAGCAGTCCCTTCATCAAAAAGTCAGCTGCTTTTAAACTGCCATAAACTCCACTGAGCGGCGCTTCATCATCATTCCATTCCACTTCAGGTTGCCTTTTAAAGTAGGATTAAAATAGAACAACACCCACTGCTAATGCCCAAATGTTTGAGCACTGTTGAATGTTAAAAGTTTTGGACTTATTTTACTCCTTAAATATATTTGATCACATTGAGTGATGAAACAAAACTGCATTTTGCTAATCATATAAAGGGGAATGATATACTATTCTTTATTGTAGAATTAAAAACTTGCCAGGTTTTCAATTGAGTCATTTTTACTGAAAAATCTGTACAGCTATGTATGTCTAGATGTATAATATTTCAAACATTGGGATACTCATGTTTAAACAAACTAAATCACTAGAAAATAATCATATTTGTACTAAAAAAAAAGTTAAATTATGTAAGATTCAGAGACAGTATGGAAAAAAAAAATGTCAGACAACAGGTAGGTAGCACAAGGAAATATTGAAGTTACCACAACATTTAAAAAATGGGGAGACAAAGGATAAGGTTCGGAAATTGAAGAAATTAGGGCTTTTGGAACTAGTTTTTCCAGCCAAGGGTGTTTGCGTGCCAGCCAACTATTCTGTTGGTCAAAGGTTACACACAACAAAGGTTACAGGCTGAGATTAGATAAAAACAAAGAGGGGTAACTCTATATCTGTTTGTAGACATGGAACCGGGGTCTGACTGAATGGCTTCCAACTTCCGGTAACTGTAAACTCATTTTGAATACATGTTGGAGCCCCAAGAATGACATGATTTGAAAGAAAAATTATAAAAATATATATCTCACTTATTTGCTTGAAAATCCAATACTTAATTTATTTTCAAGTGTAGAAATAAATAGTAAAATGATACTAAGTCAACGTGTGGTAATTATTGACAAAAGATATTAGTATGAGGTCGAAATGCTAAACGTCCGAGTCATATTTTAGCACATTTTTTTAGTGTAAGTTGAACTGCTGAAAAAAATATCTGGGGACACTGACTTACAGCGTAGAATCGTACATAACATGAGTTTAGTAATAAGAAAGCCTCTTTAGTTTACAATTCAAACATTTTTCACAGAGTGAAAAAAAGAAATAAATCATGCCACTTTCTTGTAGCAACTTTAAAAATGGCGGCGGTCAAGTTTTTTTGTTTAGTTTTTTACACGGAGAACTCAACTTCTTCATAAACGATCTCTGGCCTCAAGGCTTCCAAAAACCCATGAAACGGGACCTCAACTAGCAAACTAAAGGGGGTGTGGCGTCAAATTGTAGCTGCAAAAGTCAAACAATGTGCCAAACAGCAAGTAATATTCACCGTCATAACAATTAAAGTCAGTATATCTTAAAACTTTGCTAAAAAATAACAGTCACTTATGCTTATTTAGTCTGTTTACGTTGACGATGTCGCGAGAAGAAAAATAACATCTCGTGGGACCTGAACGTGTGCAACTTCAAGGGACATTACCTGGTCCATAAAACTTCTTGCCTCTAGTCACGTCAAATACTTTTCCGTTGACTGCCATTAGGATCCGTGGATTTTGCAGACCATCGTATGGTTTCAAATCTGCAAGGGTAAAATCTCTCTTTTTCAGTTTGGGCAGGGGTTTATCCACCTCCGCGAGCTCCGGCGTCTTATCCCCGCGGAAGATTTTGTACAGCAGGAACAGACAGAGACTGAGCAGGGTCAAATTCAGAGGAGACGTGAAGATCTCCTGAAAAATTCCAACAGAAGTTGCTTCGCTTGCCTCCGCTTCAGCCATGTTAGCGTCTTTCTCTCGCTGGCCGCTGTGTGTGCGGTCGGGTGGGATTGGTGGCACTACCAGAATCCGGGCCAATCACTGTTCAGCATTGCAACCACCTGCTCACACTTTTAACCAATCAGCTTCCTCTGAACGTTCACCAAAAAGTGTCGTACTGTTTACCTCGACAGTAATGTTTCGAATGTTTGTGATTTGTTTTGGTTGATATGTTTATTATTTTAATAGGTGTCTTTATTGCCTAGTATTTTTTCATATAATTTAATAATTCCCTTTTTGTCAAGCGTTTCATGAATCTTTTCACCAGTTTTCTCAGTTATCAGCTTATTTAACTAAACTTAGACAGTCTGCCATATGAGTGCTGCTACCCATCTTTCTTTATAATGTATTGTTCATGTTATAAACCATGTTCTTATATTGCAAATAACTTGAGAGGATAGGGTTATAATAATCATACATGGACTGATTAGTAACAGAACCAATTGAAACAACCCAGGAGGCTTTGGAATGGCTGCAACAACATGAAACAGCCACAGAGTGCAGCTAAACTGCAACAAAATATCACGAAAGAACTAACTGGAGAAAACTAATGTCTCAAAATAAATATGCAGTAGTTATTAGATTAAAACAACCAGTTGGAATGATACCACATGGACATAACAATTAAAGTGGTAGGAATCTCAATAAATATGTACTGACATAGACAAAGTTAAATAATAAGGAAAACTAAAACTCAAACATATGATCAAACCATACCTAATACCTGTTCTATGGATGAGCATTGCTCTCCCTCAAAAATTTATAAACTATAAATTATAAAGTGCAGTTGGCAATTCTTTTATCAAATAGCATGCCATCTCGTGGTAAAATTTGCTAGACAAATAACGGGATGTAGACAGAGTTCACCTTTATTTGCACACTGAACCACAACCGTGTTGCAATCAATTGTTTTTGTAATGGTAACGCAGGAAATGTCTGGGAAGTTTGGTTGTTCAGAAGACATTCTTTCACTACCCATGAATCAAAAAACTTTTATTCTCATACAAACTCACATTTAGATGTTAATGTATGTTTCTGATAAATAAGTGTAAAATCAAGAAAGAACAACAAGAGTATATAAACAGCAAATGATAAACAAGTGGTCTGTTTATATGATATGGATATGGTTTAGCCTTTTGTCTACGTTATTGCAAATCCCGCATTTTATATAGATGTCTTATTTTTCAGAATCAATAAATATATATTTTTGTCTTTTTTTTTTATGTTAATGACATGAAAAAAACATGAATAAACAAAAAGTATTTACTAGTGTAAAAGACCCATTACGTACTGTTGGAAAAGCTTGGTGACAAGTGATTGTCGCGGTCGATTCGGTCACTTCCTGCTCGTGGAAACAGTTCCTGGCCGCTCATTGGTTCCCACCAATAAAAACAAAGCACTTATGCAGCGTTTCCAACCACAGAAACGTGATACTACTCCGTGACTGGCCAGGCGGTCCTTGGGAGTAAACCGAACTAGTGTCCAGAGGACCGAGTGGCCGCCGGGTCATCACCGGCCTTTGTAACGTTCGCTAACTGGCAATTTGAATGTAATTTCAGTCATTGCGCAACAGTAGCAGCTCCGCAGCTAGCTGCTGTTGCCGCTTACGGACACTTTCCAAGCACCACCTGGCTCCTCCACACGGCGGGGCAATGAGCTGGCCGCCTCTGAGGGCTCTTTAAACGGGTTTGGTAAGCGGGTGTCAGCGCAGGTTTGACCAATGTTTGGAGAAGATCCGACACTGAGAGAAATTTAGTGAGTCAACCTAGCTAACCAGGTGAGTTTCCATATTTCTTTCTGAGCGTTACTGACGTTAGCTATGCTAGCTTACACCTCAAACCCCGATCAGTTGTGACAATACTGGGCTGCTGTTTTTTGGCTGTGTCATGTTTGTGGCAGATAGCTAAATGGATAGGGTTCGTCTTCGTGTCATGAAATAAAAACTCCAATTTGCGATTTTATAAGGACGAAATATGAAAGTATTTGCACCTGAAACGTAATCATTCAGTTTAGTAGCTCTTTAATCTTTTGTGGGGTAAAATTAGTCAAACTTGACAAATATCTGGAGTTAGTAATAAAGCGTTCAACAGTTTGTTTTTATCCTGTATGCTAATTGTATGTATGTTTAATGTAATATATAGAAAGTTTAAGGCATCAGGGTGAGACAAACTTTACTCATTAATGCTAGTCAGAGGCTATTCTGTTAGTTTTTTATGTCATACACATGACACACAACATTGTTTGGTTTTTAAGTTTGTAATTTAACCTGTACACATTAGACCTGAACAGCTAACTATGTGAATGTAGACAATAGGACACAGAGATGGACATCTAGTTGTAAGAGGAAGAAAAAAAGAATATAGGGTGTGATTTCCTGAAATAATGGAGTTCATTTGAATAATTCCCCCTGAACACAGCATTACACGGTACAGTTTACAAAGCACGTCCTGTTTTTCCATCTCGCAGGACAGTGTGCGGCCCCGCTGCTGCCTTTTAAACCAGCTCCGGCCCGCCTCTGGTCACTGGCCGGCTCACCCTGGACTTCCCCACACGCGGTCACCATGAGTGCGATGCGCGTCGACGCCAAAGTGGTGATGCTGGGAAAGGAGAGCGTCGGCAAGACCAGCCTGGTGGAGAGATACGTTCATCATCGCTTCTTGGTCGGCCCCTACCAGAATGTGAGTGTCAGCTGCTCCTCCTTCATGCTGCCCGCATGAAAAATCCCCCCTCGGGGGGCTTTTGATGGGAGAGACACGGCGCTGAAACGTCTCCAGTGTGTTGAAGCAAATGCCACATTAGACAAGCGTTTTAAACATGGAGGTTCTTCCCTCAAGCTGAGTACTCAGAGGCTGGACTGTTTTCACTGTTTATTGTGTCAAGAACAATAATTATGCTCGGTATGTTTGATAAAGGCACTGGTGAAATTTATTGAAACAAAATATACCCGATCTCCCATTAGTGTCCATTTAGAGTGAGGCGTCTTCCACCAGGGAGAGCCGGCCGTTAACCTGCTGTCCGTTTCCTCTCCTCACAGACCATCGGAGCAGCATTTGTAGCCAAACCCATCCAGGTGGGAGACAAAGTGATTACTCTGGGAATATGGGTGAGTCGGACCGTGCTTTCACTCCACGCGTTGACTTTATTGATCTTACAACAAGAGTCCCAAAAAGTTCGCTGCCCCCAACGGCACAAACCGGCGAATTGGCAAAGCGGTATCTGGAACATTAGGCATTTTACTGCAATATGGTTTTGTCAAGGAAAAAAATCAAATAAAAAGACATGTCAGTGTAGAATGAATAATTAGATTTCTAATAAATGCTCCGAACAAAAGATCCCTTCACACATGGAAGGGGAAGAGGATCAAACTGCTGACTTTTGGTGTGGCGTACCACTGATTTACAAACAGAGCAACAGCTGCCCATCTAAAACATTTCGATCACTTTGTGTATTTTGATTTTTAGTTTGTAAAATCTTCCAAGAAAAAAGAAAAAAAAGCCCTCTGTAAGAATTCTCCTGCTACTGAGATCGTAATGGATACAAGGCTCGTTTTTGCACCACGTTGTCACATAGCTATAAAGGGGAAATAGACATGTAGCACAAATTAATTCTTTTTTTTTTTTAAAGACACTTTTTATTACAATAGCACCGAAATCTTCTTTCACTTGCAATAATTATAAAGCAATCTTGAAATTCCAGAAGCTGTAAATAGAGCATGCCTCCAAAGGTGATTAAGCCCAAGAAACTGTACACAGGAAGTGGGCAAAGCCGCCATGTTTGTCACACCGTTTTTGGCATTTGGGGTGCTGTCTCACTATTTTTAAGAGGGGAGGATATTTGGAAAAGTGGACGTGGAGACTGATGCTGAAAACTGATTGGGCAGCAAAAGTACATCTCACAGAGGTGTGATCTTCATCTAATGCTGCCTTCCCAGAGGTTTCAGTTAGTGTCAGTGGTCCTGGGTCAGGATCAGGTTAAACGTCCCAGTGAGGTCCATAGCAGTCCACACTAAGCCCCCCCTTTCATGTTCAGTCTGACTCACACAGGCCGGCTTTGCTCCCAGAGCTGCCAACAAAGAGGCTGAACACGGGGGTTGTAAACCGCTGTCGTGTCAGGGGAGCTGAATTCCCCTTTAACAGAGGAAATCGGCTTGTTACAGAGTCAACGCAGCCAGCCGGTTTTCCTTCCTAACGTCCCATTCTTCTGTTCCCCTCCACCTCAGGACACGGCTGGATCGGAGCGCTATGAAGCCATGAGCCGGATCTACTACCGAGGAGCTCGAGCGGCCATAGTCTGTTATGGTAAACCTCCACCGTTAAACATTACATACATATTTCCTCCAATGGGAACTGTGTGTCTGTACAGCAGCTGGTGGTGTTTCCCCAGTGGATTACTCACACCGCTGTCACCGTTTGTACCGGATTTTTCAGACTATGAGTCTCACTTTTTTTTACATGTTTTGGCCGGGGGTGCGACCTATACTCCAGATATATTATAAATGAAAAATATAAAAATAATTCTCAACTAATTTACCGAAATAAAACAATTTTACATGACAGATGGGTAAAATGGCAAGTGGAAACGAAGATGCAATGCATCATGGGCACTGTAGTACGGATTTGATAACCAATCAGAGAACACAACATTGGACACTTTTCATGTTAGGTTAACATTATCTGTATGTCCATACGATTTACTTATGTTTTTTTCGTTAGAATAGATATATTGGCCCGGGCGACTTATACTATGGAAAATACGATATATTGACTAAACCCCGTCTCTTTATTTATTTGTCGCCCTCAGATTTGACCGACAGCAGCAGCTTTGAGCGAGCCCGGTTCTGGGTGAAAGAGCTGCAGAACTGCGAAGAGGTGAGTGTTTTTAGTTTTTTTTTAGAACATTATATCGAAGGAGCCATTTTAAATCGGCTGAAATGTAGATTTCAATGAAAGATTTCTCATTGAAGTTTTGAAGGACTCGTTTACATACCATCACACATTGCATATTTTCAATGGAAATATGAAGTGGAGCACTGAGAAAGTGTTTGTGCCCCTCAGCACTGTAAGATCTATCTGTGTGGCACCAAAAGCGACCTGATCCTCGGAGACAAGAACCTGCGTCAGATCGACTACCACGACACTCAGGATTTCGCTGAAGGTAACCCGAGCCCTGATATGTGACTTTAGTCTCAACTGAAGTCACACCCAGAGCTTCAAAAGTAAATATCTGTGGCCTGATCGCACAGCGGCCTCCGCTGAGATACTTCCACTCGCTTCCATCTCGGGCCTCACATCAGTAAAGTTATTTTGGTCTCGGATTTGTATCCGATTAGTATCCGGTTGTTTTTCTTTAGCTGTCCAGAGTCTGAAAAAGCTGGGCAGTGTGTCTGAGTTCTGCTGTCTGCTGACACAAACCACATAAACTTTCCAAAACTTTGATATTGAGAAATCTTTGACCTCGGTCATTTTGTGATTATGAGCATTGCAGCATAAGCAAAACTTCTATTACCAAAGTCGATGTCTGACTGATGTCTGTAACTTTTCCCGCTCCCATTCACAGAGATCGGGGCGCAGCACTTCGAGACGTCCAGCAAAACGGGAAACAACGTGGGTGAGTTCATACATCACTCATTGAGGCCTCTGATACAGGAAGTGAACTGTAATGTTGAAAAATGCGGTTATGTTGTAGAACGCTGAGACGAAAGGTTCTGTCCGTTCCCAGGAGGGATGTGAATGACCAGATCAGACTATCTTTATGCCTGGGAAGAAAAAATTATGGGAAATGGCAAGAAATGATAAGTAGCACTTTACTAAAGTTAAATTGAACCCCCAAAAGTTGGTCCTCATTCTAATTTTATCGAGTTCCGCATGTTTGACGAAAAACAAAATAGAGCCGCATTTGAAAAAAGGCTGCAAAAACAAATACAATCTTTTGAAATTGTTACACTAGGAATTTTGGGTGACCAGTCAAAAAAAAAAAGAAATTTTAATCCACCAGCACGGCCACAAAAGATAGATTTCTAACAAAGACAGAAACACCACCAAAATCCAGCATGACTGACCCGCACTTACAAACGTCAATTCAGAGTCTCAAATTAAGCTCACATTCGTATTTATTGGACTGTAGGAGGTTGCCAGAGTACCTGGAAACTCCACATAAAAAGGGCCCTTGCTGGGATTAAAACCAGGAGCTCTCTTCCTGTAAGGTCAGCCCGCTGACCACACCAGCTCCCAGCCCTGGATAATGTTGTGTTGTTTTAAATGACAACGACAGGGAATAATATCCTTACTGTGTTCATTTCTATGTATTTGGGCTTGACTCTAAACTCCAGGGCAAAAGTTCCTCAGTGTAAGCAGTAATGTTCCAGCCGGGGGCCGGACCCAGTCATGTCATACCTCGTTGCGTAGGTCTTTTTCTCAGCTTTCAGCCAATGAGACCCCTATTCTGCTCAGACCAATTGCATTCGGTCAGCGGGCCCCAGAGCTCAGCCAGCTCGGTGGCTCTCCTTCAGGCCCTCTCATAGGCGCAAGCCGTCAGTAACTCATTGACTGCCAGCCGTTTTCAGAACAGAGTCCCATACTGCCAGATTTTTTTTTAGCATTTTGACTGATTTTTCAAGAGCCACAGAATAGTTTGTGCTATGACTATGTAAACACCGAACACACCAAAAGAAAGAGTAGACCCTCTTCTTTCATCAGGAAAAATTTATTTGTTTCTACCTTATTCTGTTCATCCTGGACGTGCGTCTCACCGGCGCCATTTCTCGCATAGCGAGCCATTGCGTTTTTCTTATTTGCCTACAGTCTATGCTCACATCCCATCAAAAGTGGCACTGCCACCTAGAGGGTCAATTTGTTACTACATACTCTGTCTAGAAGCCCATATTTACGGACAAGCTTTAGCAGATCGTCCCCCAGCCGCTCTCGTTGAAAAACATAAAAGACGTCTATAGACGTCTTTGGCAGCCAATGAGTTAATAACAGCCCAAATATCAATTGGCCGACCTGCCAGGCCCCTTTTGAGGGCCCCAGGAAGCCAGCCCTGGGTTCCTGGACGGGCAGTAGGTGGCTCAAACCCCCATGGCCGTTCTAAAAGATGCCCAAAATGAGGCGACGCAAATCTTATAGGAAGTCTGATGTATTTATAGGAAGCCTACAAATCTAAAGGAGCAGGATTACTTCATTCCGAGCACATTTTGAGTCTATAATATCAGTAATCTATAATAAAGAAAAAACAAGGAAGGAAGTGTGGATGTATTTTCCTTCTGGCAGCATCCTGGAGCCTGAGGTTAGAGCCATGCGATCGGGGGATTCATTGAGGTCTTTTCAGAGGCATGCCACCCACAGGAAGCAGAGGGCTGAGGCACATTAGCAGCACACGGCGTAAAAAAAGGGGCGCCGCACATCCTGCTCAGCCCTCGTCGGGGCCGCAGATGTTGTCATTTCTCCGATTTTTTTTTTTAGAGCAGAGCAAATACTTGAAAGCAGAAGCGTTTAGATGAGCTGCTGTGCTGTGATTGCATTTCATAACGCAGGTATCAAGCGTGGGATAGGACCTGTTTTGTTATTTTGTTTTGTTTGTTGTTTTGTTTTGTGCGTTTCTTCTTTTTTTTTTTTTAGCCCTGGCTGATACGACCAGATGGAAACTGACAGATTTTTTTCCTTCTTTTTTTATGCCACCTCTGCTCTCCAGATGAACTATTCCAGAAAGTCGCAGAGGACTACAACAACGCCGCCTTCCAATATATGACAGGTGAGGCTTTATTCCGCCTTCTAGAAACGTCTGGATTCTTTTTGTGCGACAGTCTAACACACTCGGTTGCTTCTCCTGGAGGCATTTTCACTGACCGGGTTTGTTCCCCCAGAGGAAAAGGGTGTGGACCTGGGCCTGAAGAAGGACTCCTACTTCTATTCCTGTTGCCACAACAATTGATGGCGGGCAACTGGAGCGTGTCGCCATTTCTGGGCCGGAGACGAACTTTTGACGGGCTGGATGCGATTTTTTTTCCTTTTCTTTTTTTTGGCCAAATCACAGGAATTAAAGAAAAAAAAAAGCAAAGAAAAAAGGAATGAGACAGTACCGTCCGTACCCTGTAACATAGGTTTGTTTCTTTCGTGCCATAAAGACCTGAGGCCCGCCAGGTTTTTTCTAGAGGACGCTTCTGTGAGACTGACACCAGGTCGGGGGGAGTTAAAGAATGGACATCCAGAGGACGTTTTTCTGCCGCACCCCCCTTACGAGGCCGCCGGACATCCTCACAACGGCGCCTGGACGTTGCGGCTTTTCAAAAATCGAGGCGAAGCCCACCGGGAAGGATTTGTTTACAGCTGTCTATTTTGTTTACATCTGGTTGTGTTTAATCCTGTCGCGCACCTTTGCCTTCACACGCGTTTTAAGTAAGTTATACAGTTCAAATATGTTGTCATAATTAAAAAAAAAACTGTCTAATATACGTCAAAAGATTATAAACCAATTGACAAATCTCATAGCGAAAAATTGTGTTAACAGAGGCCTTTCTTTGAGGAATTCAAGTGGCAGGTTTGTGTGTTTTTTTACATCCTGATGCTTCAGATCTTTGGTGTTTTCTCCCACTTTTGCCACTCGACAAACGTGGATGTATTAAGAGAGCTTGCAGACCACTCCATTCTGCCAACATGTCGACAACTAGCCGCAGAAAATAAAAACGACTGTGGCCTCGACGCGTTTTTCTACCAAAAGTAGAACCCCTGTAAAAAGGAACTGATTTTATAAGTTTCCAGAACCTATTTATGTGCTTTGCGTTATTCCCGTTTAAATTCCCATTTAGCTCCAAAACACTACAGATGTGCACAAGCCGTTTCTTTTCATCCAATGACAGCACACACAACTACAAACGCGTTGAGTTCTGCAGTGTAAGCTGTGGTTTCTGTGAACGGGTGGAAGATGAAGCCGTTTTTAGGCAGCCGTTTACGTTGCATGGCCGGGGCTGCCTGAAATAAAGCTTAAAACTGGATTTCCTGTATTTAATTTTCTGGTTTCGGTCAGACCTGAAAGCATAGTTCGTGCATGGAAAAACGAATGCCAGGTTTTCTGCTTTCGGCTGCTTCTAGAATGTCAGCATCCAAAGATTTTTTGGGGGGGGAAAAGCGTTCAGTTTGACAGAGACCCGATGAGGCGTTCACTTCCCTCCGGCGGCAAACGGAGGATTTCAGCAACAGGAAAAAGCCTCTGCCTGCGGGTAAATGTTGTAACGAGCTGAATGTGGTCACCGACATTTACAACACCCACTTGTGCAGCAGGGAAAACATGACCGGAAAATAAATGGACATCAGTTTTTTCAATGTTTTCCTTTTGCCGTCTTTATGATCCCTGTGTTGATATTGTGATGCACAAAACTTTTAGTGAGGGCGGATGAAGAGAGAGGGTGGTGTCCAAATATATTGTTGAAAATAAAAAGCTTCTTTGAATAAAGTTTTGAAGTGCTGACAGATCTAAAATTCCCAATATTTTGGCCTTTTAAGTACGATTTAACACTCATTTAAACAGCTTAGATACATCACAAGTGGTTATGTTAATGCATGTTTTCAGAAAGTACACTTCACCGTATAACATTTTGTCCATATGTCCACTTTACTCAAACTTTAGCACTTTTCTGGTATCATCTTTATCAATTTGGGATTTTTTTTCCTGTCTATACCTTCTCAAAGAGAAAAGATAGAAGAAATATTATAGTGAAATGGAAACTTGAGGCTCTCAATTGGATATTAACCAAAAAACAAAAAAAACAATTGTATATTTTGAATGTTTTAAGAAGACATTGCTAGCATGTAATAAGGAACATATTGACTGTGGAAAAAGTAATTTATAATTTATTACTGGAGATGTCATTTAATTAAGTCTTTTTCTGATGTTCTTTCCTTTTTTTGTGTGAGACACTCCTTCAGTTTTCCCGTTCCTACCATTATAAAGAGGGAACTGTATTCCTGAAAAATGCAGTCAAATTCTCAATAATTATACAATTAATTATCAATTTGGTGAACACTAAATCCATTTATTTTGTCAATTAGGGTCCAACTTTTTACTAGGCTATTGTTTTTTACTTTTGAATATAATTTTACAATAGATTTTAGCATTAACGATTTACATTTTATGAGAACAGATACAAACTTAGATGGTTTGTATTTCTGAATATATTCTGTATTTACAATTCATGGTGGACAATAATTCAGAAATAAACTCAGCTTGCATTTCTCTGGGAAGAGTTTGTAGGTAAAAAAATGAATAAATACCAAGCTTTCTACCAAGCATTGCAGTTTAAAAAATGTTTCATTATGATAAGGATTCTTTAAATAATTAATTAATTTAAATAATTCATTTATTTATTGTCACATTGTAAGCGATTCCTTCTCAAACTGGTCTTGGATGTAACTTTATTATTCGACAATACATCTAAAAAAAGAAGATGCCAGTACAAGGTGCTTATTTCATAACTTCCTCTTATATATTTATATAGCGGTTGTTTCAACAGGTCAGTGGTTGAGCTCTAACAAGTTGTTGTTACACAGGAATGAAACATCGTTTGTTTGGGCAACTTTGAAAAAAGGCATTTGCAGGGAAATGTGTCTCTCCTTCGGCAAGCCATTCTTTAAAAATCTCTCAAGAGGAAATACTGTCTAAGGCATTGGCAGACAACATGGACACGCTGACAATGTGAAGCTTTCAGATGGAGCAAAAACACATGGCAAGAACACGTACTGAAGTGCAAGCGTCCAGGCGGGAGTCCGGCGATTCGGGCGGCCATTTCGGTCCTGGACAGCCCCTCTCCCCCCTGGATGAAGAGTCAAGAATGATAAAAAAGGGGAGGGCCAACACCTCGGCTCTCCCCCATCATGGTTTGTGCGTCACGGAACAGCTTATAAATAAGGACTATAAAGCACTGCATACACACTGGAGCCAGCGGCCTGCATCGGTCAGGGCTGGTCCGAACGGTCATCTCGTGTCCCCGGGGTTCACGTGAAGATCTGCTCTCTCTGATAAATATCCTCTGAGACTGTCCCATCGTGCCCTGCGTCCGCTTTTGTCTCTTTGTCATCCTGACATGAGTCAAATGCCGTTTCCATGTCTCCCGAATGGTCCTTTTTTTTTTGTGTTTTTGTCTTTTTCTTGACTTTTGAAATGCCGGAATAGTGTGGCAGCTGAAATTAACAAAAAAAATCTATTTAAAAACAGAATTGCTTCAACTTGATGCATGATTTTTTTCCCTCTTTTTTTTTTTTTTTTTTAAAACAGTCAACACCGACGATAACGAAGCCAAAGCGACACACAGCGGTTAAATGGTCTGACCCTTATCCCGCAGCGCTGACCGATGGCCTGGGGTCCGCAGAGGGCCGCTAACTGAGGGGAAACCACGGCCAGCACCGGCTCCCGAGGCTCGAGTCCTGGATGGAAGCTTTTTTTTCTTTTTTCTTTTTTGGCTTTTAGCAGCAGTGTTGTTTGGTGTGAGCCCGGGTCCAAAATACGAGCGTTTTACATTTGGAAGCACCACCAAACGTGTCGAGACAGGAGAAAAAACTTCCAACTCGTCTAACACAGGATGACGCTTCTTCACAGCCACCGCGACCTAAAACCGATGTAAACATGAGAGACACGAAACCTTCAGTGAGTCTGAGCGTGGTGGTTGGTCCTAAAAATCCACAACTTTTGAGCGGTGAGGGGGTTCCGGCTCACTCTGGGCTTAAGTCCTTTTCTAGCACAAGTACTGTCTCAAAGTTAAATATACAAAAAAAAAAAAGAAGAAAAAAAAAGTGGGTTGAAATGTGGAAACACGGAGGTTTGAGTTTGTTTTGTAGCCGTCGGACCTAAAGGTGCAAAGTGTGTAACAAGGTCTGGGGAGCGATTATTAGGACAAAACTGCAACATTTCAAGCATAAATAACCTGTGAGATTGTTGTGATATAGAACGACTGTCTGAATATCCCTAAAGCTATATATTATTTATATCTCCATTTATCCGCAATTCATTTACGTTTCTATCGTTCATTTTGTTTCTAAAAATCTCTCCGTACATCCAATTGTTGAATAATTCTAAACAGTGACGGACTGTGGTTCAGTTTTCTCTGCTTTCCCACTGTAGTGACTATGAGTTGCCATTTTTTTTTAAATGAAAAATCCTCTGGACATCACTCTTCCTCTTCCTCTTCCTCTTCGTCTTCGTCCTCGTCCTCTTTGAGCTCCAGGTATTCCAGCCCAACTTCCTCCCCCTCATCGGTCCCGTCTTCTTCCTGGGAGTGGGATTTGGGCCCTCTGATTTCCCCCTCGGGCATGGACCCGTCCTCCTCCTCCTCCTCCTCTTCCTCTTCCTCCTCCTCTTCCTCGGCCAGCAGCTCATCATCCTCCAGCACGTTCCTCTCCTCTCCGCAGGAGGAAATGGGCGAGTAGTGGGGGAGGTCGAACGCCCGCGGGGAGCCGTGGGGGGGCGAGGTTCTGGGGGCGGCGACGGGGATGGTGATGGGCAGCGGGATGGAGAAGGCAGGGAACGGCTCGGGCCGGCCGCCGGCCACCGCCGTGGCGTGTCCGGCGCTGTGGTTATGGCCGCCGGCGGCGTGGGGGGGGGCGGAGGAGGAGGAGGAGGAGGAGGAGGGGATGACGGCCATGCCCAGGCCGGGGGGGAGGGCCCTGCGCTCGGGGGGGTACTCCCGGATCTCCCCCGGCTCCAGCGGCTCGGGCCCGCAGGGGTCGTGCTCGCTGCAGGACAGCCGGCCGTCCAGCTTGGAGATGAAGAGCAGGCCCTCGCGGTGCTGACCGCAGTAGGAGCTGGGGCACATCTCGCAGAAGGACGCCGCCTCCTTCCCGCACACGTCGCACTGGTGCCACGGACACTCCCATCGACCTGTAACACACACACACACACACACACAAACACGCACTAAAACATCTGAGCAAAGAAAAATATCTAGAATATAGAGTTTAGGGTTGTCAAAAGTATCGATACTCAAAAAAGTATCGATACTAAAATGTTGTATCCGGATACGATTTTCATCGTTTTCAAAAGTATCGATACCAGCCCCCCCCTCCTTCCCCTGCGCCCCTTCTCTCTTATTCATTTATGGATTTATTTACGTTGTTTATGATCATTAACAAGACGTTAGCCTTGAATTGCTAGCTGCGGCTAATGGCTAATAATAACACGCCAACATTAATCAAATACGTCTGGCTTCAAACTCCGCCCACATCCAAGTCGGCCATTTTGATTACGTCACCAATCGGAAGATTCCAGACAAGAAAATCGTAATTGCCTCATGGCAATATAGATATTCATTTAAAAATGGTGAAATTAATCTTTCAAACACTTAATTATACTCTATACATATTATTATGTTAAAATAGTGTATGTTAAATAGGTTTGTACAATAAGTCCAAACAAGTTTAACCCAAAAATATTTATTTCTCACATTTATGAAGGGTGGAGGGTTAGGGTTAGGGTCAGGGTTAGGATTAGGGTCATTAATGCGGGCCACCCCTCACGATAACATCAGTAACAGGTCAGTTTGAAATCGAAGACACTAACCCGTCAAAATTCAGTTAAATTTTGGGGTCTTTGTTTTTATCCTTGTGATATCGAAAATGGTATCGAGTATCGAGTATTTTCCTGAGTATCGGTATCGAGTTGAAAATTTTAGTATCGTGACAACCCTAATAGAGTTAACCCTATAATGCCAAATGTGTCATATTTGATACACACAGTTTCTGAAGTCTTTTGGATCTGAGACTTTTTGCATCATTCAGTGGTAAAAGCTTTGCTCAAACCCCTGTTGTACACATTCAAATATACCTGATAACAGCCAGTAGACTACACCAACATTTCCTTTTTTTTCTTTATATGTTGTTTAGGGGCCAAAGAAAGACTTCAGACTAAAAATATGCAATAGTCTTCCTATTTTTCTTGGATCAGGCTTCAAAGGGTTAACTACATGCTAGCAACTTGATGATATAAGAAACACAAGCAAAGTGTGAGGCAAGTAGGCAACTTCCTACCTTCTGAGGGCTATGCGGATATATTACATATAAGGTAAAATGTAAAATGTTTTCATTATATTTTAAATAGTATCCCCCTTGGATATCTGATTTGATGCGGCATCTGCTCCGCACTCATTGAAGTGTGCCATTCCCAAGTTCTACTTTTATCTGTTTTATGATTCACCGTCTGTTAAACTGAACATCAAAACCAAAAAAAAAGTTCCTTTCTGTTTGTAGACCTGATCTGTTCTATTGTAAATCCTGATGAGTTCAGGTTGAAAGACAATAGGAACCTGTCATTTCAAAGTAGATTTAAAAAAGCTGAATAATTACAAGCCTACATGGACAGAACACAGCTACTGATTTTAAATCGCTTTGAATAGCTTTTTTAAAATTCATGTTTTATCCCCGAGACATCTATTTCCTTCTCCATTTTCCATTGGACGTTTTGTCCTACTGGGAACTTTCTGTTCTGCCTCGATGGATGATCATATAATAAACACTAGCAAATATGTTTTTAAATGCAAAAAAAAAAAAAAAGGAAATTATGGAAAATTGTGCAGCTCGGCGCCCCTCTCCACAGCATATTTAGTGCATACCCACATTTTGCCGCACTGGTGCTAAGTATTTGTGCAGCTGAGTTGTGTTTAGGGCCCTAAAAAAACACACTGCCGTGCTTTATGACCAACACCGTCTAAACGACAGCTTCCATCACATTGTGCTTTTTCTGCAACGTAGGAAGAGGGGGCAACACTTCTATGCTGCGCTACAGTTAGCCCAAGAATCTGACGCACTCCAGTGGGAAAAAGCGGGGAAAGCCACTGACCTGCCGGCCTCTTGGTGAGGTTGAGGCAGTCTGCGTGGTAGACTTTGGGACAGCCCGGCCTCTTGCAGGACACCATCTGCCCCCCGTCCCCGCAGCTGAAGCACTCGTCCTCCCTTTCCTTCGTCAGCACCAGCTTCTTCTTCTTCTTGCCGTGGCCTCTCCGCTTCAGCTTGCGGCTCTTATCGTCCGACGGGGGATTGTTCTGTTTGGAGAGCGGGGGGCGTTGGAGAAAGGGGGTGCGTTTGGTAACGGTCGCGGCGCCTCTGGGAGGCGGCCGTATCCGGGAACAGGCGCCTCACCTTTGGCCTGACCCCCAGGAAGCCGCTGCAGTTGGGCGCGCCGCATTTACACACCGTCTTCCCGTTCCCCAAACACTCCAGGTTGTAGTTGAAGGTGAGTTCTGTGCCTGCAAATGGATGAAAACACCTAGGGTTACAAACTTGGAAGGGAAGGTTTAATGAAACACGAGAGTTTAAACCTTTAACATCCCGCTCATCTGACTTACTGATTATACTCATAGGTGATAGAATATACCAGAAGAAGTGCCCTTAACCTAAACTAGCTCTAAAATAAAGTTTAGGTATGTGATGCCTAAGTTAATGATAAGTTATGACATTTCTTTTTTTAAATTTCACACTTTTTTAACGAAGTGTCACCCCGACTACTACATATATAGATAGATCTATAGATCTATCTATCTATAGATAGATAGATAGATAGATAGATAGATAGATAGATAGATAGATA